CTGAGGATCCGCTAGATGTACTACTACCGGTAGAACTGTTGGTGCCCCGTGGTGCTTGTTCTCCTCCTCCTCCTCCTCCTCCTCCTGAGGATCCGCTAGATGTACTACCACCGGTAGAACTGTTGGTGCCCCGTGGTGCTTGTTCTCCTCCTCCTCCTCCTCCTGAGGATCCGCTAGATGTACTATTACCGGTAGAACTGTTGGTACCCGGTGGTGCTTGTTCTCCTCCTCCTCCTCCTCCTCCTCCTCCTCCTGAGGATCCGTTAGATGTACTATTGGCCGTAGTATGGTTGGTGGTCGGTGCACGTGCCCGTCTTCCTCCTCCTGCCGACGAAGGGGGCGAAGACGACTCCATTGCAAGCCGGCGGCGTGCTCCCTCTTCCACTCCATCAGCTGCATCGTCCTCACCATAAGCGTATCCATCGCTCGTCCTGACGGCTGTCATTGACGTTACACGCCCGAGCAGCGATCGTCCACTTGACGAGTCAACCGAGATAACTCCGATTACTCCTACGATCACTAAGAGAACCGTAAAACTCACAGCTGCCGTTATCGTACTCCCTCGCCATCCTCCATATCCACCTGTCGACTTCGCCATCTCTCTCTCTCTCTCTCTCTCTCTCTCTCTGTGTCTGAGTGCGAAGGCTACTTTTCTTGGTGGGGTTTAACGAAAGAACGTTAGAAGATATATAAGTCAATATCTAGTACCTGTTTCGAGGATAACAGTCTGTGTGTGACTGCGCGTGCGCGCTTGTTAACGATGACTGATCGGCTCGTGGGCGTCGTATCTCAGTAGCGCTTGTTAACGACGACTGATCGGCTCGTGGGCGTCGTATCTCAGTAGCGCTTGTTAACGATGACTGATCGGCTCGTGGGCGTCTTCAGAGTCGTGCAATGCACGACTTCGCCTCGACTCGCTCTGTACTCTAGTCACGTTCTATCACGTCCGATTTCACTAGCTTGTCGTTAAACACTGATCGATGGGCGAATCTAACGTAACGGATCTCGAACAAAGGACAAGCAAAGCAATCGACATTAGTAACAGGAATTCATGACGTAGTAAATCAATGGCTCACGACATCAATCCATAGGGCAATCAGCCGACAATAAACCAACCAACGAACCAATCAATCAATCAAGCAAGCAATCAATTAGTTAATTAATTAATTTGTTAATCAATCAGAGACAACAAATGCCGCAGACCGAGTGACAAGTCCCGACCACTCTCTCTCCCCTACCCTACTAGACGGCAATTTCCAGCCCCGTGAGCAGCTGCCAATGCAGAATAGCAAAAGCCTTGTCCCTCACAAAACCAGAGGCTGCAAGTGCGCCTCCTTCTTATGACTCAATTCTTGATAATACCGAAACCACTGAATAATAATCAGTTCTTCTTCTTCTTCTTCTTCTTCTTCTTCTACTTCTTCTTCTTCTTCTTATCCTTCTTCTTCTTCTTCTGCAAGTGCGCCTCCTTCTTATGACTCAATTCTTGATAATGCCGAAACCACTGAATAATAATCAGTTCTTCTTCTTCTTCT